GAGGTGGAGGTGGAAACACAATCCGTGGTAAGATAACTAACTCCTTCGAGACCATCAGAGTAGCCCACTACTGCCAATCCAAGTGGATTCTACCACTGTTCAGCTCAGACGGCACGATCTAGCTGCAGCAAAAATCGCAGATCCCTCTGCAATTCTGAATCGAGCGCTTCATGGGCACCTACAATTGCCTATCATCAGTCAGCCCGGCAACCATGAACTTACTTCCCCAGATGGCAACAAATGTCCATTTTGATCGCTTGCTCACCCTGAGGGAGACAACCATGGACGCCCAACCGCTTTACAGCGCAAAATCTCCGAGCGTGAACTGAATCCTCCCTTCGTCAGGAGGTGTGGCGGCAAAGACAACCCCCCAGTGAGATTTCCGGCATACTACCATTGGTTATCCATGCAGCTGTGGAGGAAATGGACAAATCTGCCACAGCCACCGCGACAGCCCTCTTTTGAGCTCCGCTGCTGATAAAATACTTGCCCACATTCCTCTCCATATTACCTGAATGTGCTCGTGGAAGCGGGCTACTTCCGGAAAGTCATCCACAATCTGTAAATACCAGCTGAAGGGAAACTCTCAGGCACCGGGCACCGGCCCACTACTCTAAAGGCCTGCGCAAACGAGTGCTAGCCACAGTCGAAGCAGTGGTCATTCGACTAGCGAACCCAGCACTCTGTTGTCAGTAGACGCTGACACAAGCAGTCTGTCTGCACTGGCCGACTCCAGGCGGTGATCTCACGCCGTGCCGACGCCCTGACAGCAGTCACACGCACTTACAGCGCTTATAATCTAACCGGAACCCCTCTCCTTCCACTCTCCCCCCTCCCACCCCAACTCCACCGTCCTCAACACGTTGACTCCGTCATACAGGCGGCGTGGCAACATGGAGTCCGATTAACCCTACCCCTGAGACGCATTTATATCCTGACTACAATTAGAATAATCAATTACCCATGCAAATGTATTGGCCTGATGATGAGATACTGAAAACATCTGTTCGCCAACCGACTCTTCAATAAGAATCCGTCTCCACCTCACCTTCACTGATGTGACAACGGTTTTTGACACCGTGACATTTACTGGGGCTCTGGAAAATCTTGCTGACGTTTGTGCAAGTCTCAAACGGCTTGCACAAATGCTGCAACAATTGCTCGATGGCAGGATGACGCCTGCTACGGAGGGTGAGTTAGTCCCGAGAGACTTTGCAGTACTGGATGCGATGAGGCAAGGTTGTGCAGGCAATCCCACCATCTCCTATCTCATCGCCGCCTTCATGTTTATTTATGCCTACTGTGAGTATCGATGTGGAGACAGCGGAAATTTCCGGCCCGCTGCGTAGCTTCTCCCTACCCGGCATGCGCAGACAAGTCAGAACACTACGCAGCAGTGTGACCGGTGGGGTAGTTGTTTGTTTCTCCTTGAGAAACAACGTCAGATCACATGACTGGCTCAGGTGATCACAAGAGAACTCGAGAAGCTAGCCCCTCTAATGGACGTAAACAAAACAATTGTGGTTGACAAGTCTGTGGAAATTAGAACACCTCCTAACAAAGCCAGACGCCACCTTCCAAGTTGGAGACAGGAGGAATGGGGAGAGTTGTGGTGTATGTTGGAAGTGTTTCCTTGTTTCCACAAGAATACGAAGTCACTAACTGTGTCGTTCCAAGTCATTTTGGAAGATCAGAAATTCGGACCTCGTTTACCGACCCGTTGGGCCATAGGTTCAGGCCCTATTGGCTGCCGTATGGAGCAGTCTGAATCAGATGACAGTGGTGATCGCTGATGTGATCTTAGAATTCCCCTGCTGTGGCCTCGCAGGTGGTCACGAAATCACGAACATAAAAAGGGACTAGATCGCAGTTGATAGCCAGGCGCCGTATTACAGGTTGCTGGGGGTTTGTTTACTGGGGCTTTTTTGGGGCTGCATAATCACATCTGACCCGTTTGGCTTCCTTTTTACGTTTAGGTAAGGATTAGGGTACCGATTAATGGTGTCCGATTTTCGGGTTAGGGTTATGCCCTTGAGGTTTAGGTTTTCGGGTTACGGCTAGGGGTTGAGTCTGCGATTAGGCTTCAGTATTACGGTCAGGTTTTGCAGTTAGGGCTATGTCTAAGGGCTACGGTTACGTTTACGATTTCAGTGAGGGTTAAGGTTGTCGTAAGGGTTAACGGTTAACGTTTAAGGCTAAGGTTGGGATTAGGGTTAAGGTCGCCGTCCGCTTAACCATTTCTGGCTACCAACAGAGATCTAACCAAAAAACTGTTAATCGGGATAAAAAAAAGCACCATGGAAGTGTCACCGCGTACCTTTGTAAGAGATGTCGCATTTACAGCAATTGCATCGTTCCAATGAACTTCTGCCGGCATTTGTAAAAGCCAGTTTCGGATTTTGTTGAATTATGAAATTCCCATGTAACAGGTGGCTGGAGACAGCGGCCCTTTTGTTGACAACGGTGCTTCCTTTAAAAGCAGCAATTCCGAATTCAGGAGACTCTGGTGTGTGTGTGTGTGTGTGTGTGTGTGTGTTTTGCACAGAACACCTTCAAAGTGGAGGCAAGTGAATTTGTCTTGAATGGTCTGCATTGTTTCACTCTGTGCTGACTGATGTGTTCCTAGTCACAGGTTTAATGCTGCTGCCTACGCGCACATTCATAATTTTTATGTCTCCTGGTAAATACCATCGAACGCAAGTGCCGAAGTTCGAGTCCGCGTCTAGTAACTGAGTAAACAGCCAGTTTTTGATAAATAGGAAGTTCAGAAAGTAAATATTTATTTGTCCCTGAAAACCTCATCAATAACGCTTCATTGCTTCCATCACTGAGGGTTAGGTGCAAATACAGTGCAGTCATACAAACCCGGATAGAAGAACACTGCGGCAAGACGGACAAAGCTGAAGACAGCTAACAAGCCAGAAATGACTATCCTGGTCTGCCCTGTCTTTGCCGGAACTGCCTCTCTCTCTCGCTCTCTCTCTCTCTCTTTCTATGCACACACACATTCTACTTACATTCGGACCGTCGATTTCTACTGTGTGCGAGCGAATTAGTTTATAGTAATAGCAGTTATAGTTGTTGGTGGTGGTGAAGAATCCTGGTCATTTGCTGTGTGGACCAGGGGGTGTGGTGGAACGCCTAGGTGCGGGTCCGGCTGTGCCAGCCACCTGCGTCCTTCCTCACCTCCGGTCTTCTTAAGTCTGTTTTGACACCGGGTCCAGGTGGGAAATAGGGAAGAGCGAGTGCGGTAGATGCTGTGCGCGTCTTATATCACTATAAACTAACTCATGCACAAGACCCCGTTCCTGTTGCGCCTTGGTGAGTAGCACACAGTGGACATCGTCGGCAACGACGATCGAACTGTCAGTGATAGCAGACTTATACAACATCTACCGCATTCTACCCTCCTCCCAACTTGGCTGCGATGTCATGGCGAAGTCAAGAAGACCGGAGTTAGGAGAGGCCACAGGTGGCTGGCGCGGCCGGACCCGCGCCTTGGCGTACCACTACACCCCTGGTCCACAGCAAGCACATGACTAGGATTCTAGACAACAAAAAATTTGAGGCTGTAGGGATCCCAATGTGCGTGACGAAGGCCTGCATTGGAGCCTACCAGTACACCTCAATGCTGGCATTTGTTAGGACACCCAACTACAAAATTTCCAAGTGGCGATTCTGCAAACTTCATCCACTTACGAAGAACTGGGAGACTTTGACTGTGAACTCCACAGAGTTTCTAAAGAGATTAAGGCGAATCACGGTTTCTGTCGAAGAGATCATGGTCTCCTTCGATGTCATCTCCCTTTTTACGTCCATGCCGCTGGATTTGGCAAAACAATACACAGAGGACCTCTTGCATTCCTATGACATGTATGTTCCCACCGGGGTGTAGGGGGTGTCAGCGGTAGGTACACGTGATGGTCGTAGTGGTCGCTCACTTGCTTGCAGGTGAGACTACGCCTAGCGTCCATTTGCTGGCACCCAACTCTCACCTGTGGCTCCACGTAGCTGGGCTCTGCTCAGCGGCCACACTCCGGGCAACCGTCTCGACCGGCGGGCTAAACCAGGTGAGGGCGCTGTGCGCTTGTGCCGCGTGCACAGTGTACTGCGGACTCCGCTGGATGGATGGTCGGATGAAACACTGCGCCGGCATCGTCGAGACGAGGCTCTGCCTGGTACGCCGTTGGATAACTGCTGCCGGGACGGGTCTCCGCATCGCCTTCGCTGAGACGCGCCCACCCTCGCCGACGGAGACCGCGGACTCACGGCACATGCGGTCGTTCTCTACTACGAACAAAAAAGTCGTGGCCCCATAGTGGGATTCGGTCGCGCCAACCAGGCACATGGGCAGCCCGATTCAGGGACGGCACTGCCTGCCCCATGAGGGGAAGGGCCTAGAAAAGGTGGCTAAACATTGCTGGGTACGACGCCGTCTCCAGGCTAGCCAGGGCCGCAGATGTCTAATCATGGTCGAAACAATCAAAATCGAAACAACAACAACAACAACCATACTCACTCTCCTCATCCTACCTCTTCCTCTGCCTATTCTTCTCCTTCGTCACCTTCTTCTCCATCTCCCTCCCGTCGCCCCACTCGTCGTCACCAGACTGGTAGGGTGAGTCCGCTCACTCTGGCAGCCTGGAATGTTCGTTCCCTTTTAGACAACCAGAGGAGCAAGCGACCGGAAAGGAGGACCGCGTTAGTGGCACGAGAACTGGCGCGCAACAAGGTGGACATCGCCGCACTCAGCGAGACCCGTTTCTCCGAACAAGGCCAACTGGAATAGGTGGGAGCCGGTTACACCTTCTACTAGAGTGGTCGACCCAGAGCAGAGCGACGAGACGCGGGTGTCGCCTTTGCCATCCGGACCGACATCGTGGGACGAATGCCCTGTCTACCGCAGGGAATCAACGATCGCCTGATGAGCCTCCGCCTGCCTCTCTGGGGAGGCAAATTCGCCACCATCATCAACGCCTACGCTCCGACGATGACCAACCCCGACGCCGTCAGAGACAAATTCTACGAGGACCTGCACGCCCTCTTGGCGACTGTGTCGAAGGCGGACAAGTTGATTGTCCTTGGCGACTTCAACGCCCGCGTCGGCACCGACCATACTGCCTGGACGGGAGTGCTGGGTCCTCACGGTCTCCGCGGCTCCAACGACAACGGCCTGCTTCTCCTCCGCACCTGCGCAGAGCACCGCCTCACCCTGACGAATACCTTCTTCTGTCTGCCGGAGCGAGAGAAGGCCACCTGCAGGCATCCTCGGTCGCGTCAGTGGCACCTGCTGGACTATGTCCTCGTTCGGAGGCGAGATCAGCGGGACGTGCTGGTGACGAAGGCGATCGCGGGTGCTGACGGGTGGACCGACCATCGCCTCGTCATCTCGAAGATGCGTATTCGCCTACAGCCTCGCAGGAGACCACAAGGTAAGCGACCCCCAGGTAAGCTGAATGTTGCTTTGTTGTCTTTGCCTGCTCACCGTCTCCACTTTAGCAATGAGCTAGCTCAACGGCTAGACAATTTTCCTATCGCTGCCGCCGCCGACGATGCCGCCATCGCTGCCGAGAACACCTCCGTGGAGAACCGCTGGTGTCAACTGCGAGACACGGTCCAGTCGACGGCGCTCGCCGTCCTCGGTCGCGCTCCCCGCCAACACCAGGACTGGTTCGACGGCAACGACGCTGCCATCAGAAATCTGCTTGCTGAGAAGAACCGCCTACACAAAGCCTACGTACATCACCCCACTGAGGACAAGAAAGCTGCCTTCTACCGCAGTCGCCGCCACCTCCAGCAGCGAAAGCGCGAGATGCAGGACGCCTGGACTGCTCGCAAAGCTGAGGAGATCCAAGGGTACGCGGACCGGAACGAATGGAAGAACTTCTTCTCCGCGATCAAAGCTGTCTACGGTCCGCCGACGAAGGGCGCTGCTCCTCTCCTCAGCGCCGACGGCAGTACTCTCCTGACTGAGAAGACGCAAATCCTTCAGCGATGGGCCGAGCATTTCCGAGGCGTCCTCAACCGTCCTTCCGTCATCTTCGACGCCGCCATCGCCCGCTTGCCGCAAGTGGCGACCAACGCGGACCTCGACCTCCCGCCATCTCTCCAGGAAACGATCAGGGCCGTGCTGCAGCTCTCCAGCGGGAAAGCACCCGGATCGGACGCAATCCCTGCTGAGGTCTACAAGCACGGAGGTCCCCTACTGATGGATCACCTGACTGCGCTCTTCCAGGAGATGTGGCGTCAAGGTGAAGTCCCGCAAGATTTCAAGGACGCAAATATCGTGCACCTATACAAGCGCAAAGGGAATCGCCAAGTCTGCGACAACCACCGCGGCATCTCCCTGATGAACATCGTCGGGAAGATCTTCGCTCGCATCCTGCTCAACCGCCTCAACAACCATCTGGAACAGGGCCTTCTGCCGGAAAGCCAATGCGGCTTCCGTCATCATCGTGGGACTACGGATATGATCTTCGCCGCCCGTCAACTTCAGGAGAAGTGCCAGGAGATGCGGACCCACCTGTACTCTACCTTCGTGGACCTGACGAAAGCCTTCGACACGGTGAATCGTGAAGGACTGTGGAAGATCATGCAGAAATTCGGCTGTCCGGAGCGATTCACTCAGATGGTGCGTCAGCTGCACGACGGTATGATGGCGCGAGTCACGGACAACGGAGCTGTCTCAGAGGCATTCGCAGTGACCAACGGAGTGAAGCAGGGCTGTGTGCTGGCGCCTACCCTCTTCAGTCTCATGTTCTCTGCCATGCTGATGGACACCTACCGCGACGAACGCCCCGGGATTCGCATCGCCTACAGGACGGACGGTCACCTGCTGAATCAACGGCGGATGCACTTCCAATCGCGCGTATCCACAACCACCGTGCTCGAACTCCTCTTCGCCGACGACTGCGCCCTGAACACTACCTCGGAAGAGGAGATGCAACGCAGCATGGACCTATTCTCCGCCGCCTGCGAGAACTTTGGGCTGGTCATTAACACGCAGAAGACGGTGGTGACGCACCAAACGCCGCCCAACTCAGCCACAGCCCCCAACGCGCCGCCGCAAATCAGCGTGAACGGAAATCAACTGCACGTGGTAGAGAACATCCCGTACCTGGACAGTACCCTCTCACGCAACACCAAGATTGACGTCGAAGTCGCCAACAGAATCTCGAAAGCCAGTCAAGCCTTCGGTCGCCTCCGAAGCACAGTTTGGTATCGCCACGGTCTCCAAATGAGCACGAAGTTGAAGATGTACAAGGCCGTTATCCTGCCGACCCTACTGTACGAAGCAGAGACCCGGACGGTGTACACGAGGCAGGCACGTCGACTAAACCAATTCCACCTCGGCTGTCTCCGCCGCATTCTGAGGATGAACTGGCAGGACCGCATCCCCGACACCGAAGTACTGGAACGGACGGGAATTCTGAGCATCTACTCCATGTTGAGACAAATGCAGCTGCGCTGGAGCGGCCACCTGGTGCGCATGGACGACGATCGTCTACCCAAACAACTCTTCTACGGAGACGTCGCGGTGGGTTCTCGTCGTCAAGGAGGCCAGATTCGCCGTTACAAGGATACCCTGAAGTCCTCCCTGAAGCTACTGCAAATCAACCAGACCAACTGGGAATAGCTCGCCTGCGATCGTCCGACATGGAGAAGAACAGTGAAGACGGGCGCTGCTATCCACGAAGCCAACCGCATCGCCGCCGCCAAGGCGAAACGCGATGCCCGCAAATCCCAACTGTGCCCAGTCAGCAACGCTGCCGCAGTACTGCTTCCAACGTGTCCTCGATGTAAGCGGACATTCCGAGCTCGAATCGGCCTTGTTGGACATCTTCGGTTCTACTGTACCTTTCGAACTGCACCAAACTTCATCCCGCCGCCCGCCTCTTCCTCGTCCTCTCTGCCACCGAATAACTCTGTGAATTCTTATGCACCACCACTTTCATCCTCCTCCTCCTCCTCTTCCTC